AATCAGCAGATTTATTGTTGTTTTAGAAGTTCAACGAGAAGTTATATATTTTACTTAGTTGGGTGGGTAACATAAAATTTATCTTGTCATTATAATATAAAAAAAGAAGATGTGGTATGATTGCCAATGAGACAACTCTCCAAAAAGACCAAAATGACACAGAAATAAACAACTATAGGTCACCTTATGGCCTTCAATAATGAGCAAAGCCCATACTGCATAGTCAGCTATAAAAGGCCCCGAAATAACAATGTAAAACAATTCAAACAAGAAAACCAACGGCATAATCTATGTTTGCTCATCATTCATCATGAAAACGATCACATTACAAATCATTTTAGGAAAGCACTGTGTAAGCAGACATTTCAGGAAGCAACAAGTCTGTAGGCTGACTGTATATTATCTGAACAAGTACATTTTTTGTCAACTTCATAATTATTTCAAACATTTTAATAGATGTCATCCAAATTTGGTCTATTTCTTTTAGCTTAATATTCTTGCTTTTTCAAAGTCATGTTCTTTTATTTTTCAACTGCGCCCAGAAATATGCGGTTACCTTTAATTTCAGAAAAGGATTTAGGGAAAGGCGATCTGGGTCCCCCTTTTAAAACCTACATTTAATGTTAATGCAGACATATTACTTGTTCCAAACCAAACCTTGTCAAGTTTCGGGCCCCTAGGTACCCCTTCTTTCTATGATTCATCCTTCATCTACTTTTGAATTTGTTGGTCTATGAATATCTGTCTATATATTGACAAAAAAGTCAATGAAACCACATCTTGATGGTCCCACAAAAATGTTGATAATGTGTACATTTCATTTTTTTTTCTATCTCCTCTCATATGATAGCAGTACCTTTTTGGTCACTATTGTGTGTTGCGTCTAAATATTTTGTAACACTTTAAAGTGACTGAACAGGTAAAACAAATTCTTCTCAAGAAACAGAAAAAGAAGACTACTTGGAACAGCACCAGACTATGTATGAATAAAAACTCAGATCGGAATAGCATGGATGATATATTTATACATTTTGTACATCATTGTGAATAAGTAAGGTTAGCTATTAATAATGGTGCATTTTTTTAAAGTTTATTGGGTTTTTTATTCATATTCTGTTCGAATTTTCACACAATCTGTCAAAAAGGCAAAACTAACTTTACTGAAACTTTCAAACAATATGAGAAGTGTTTCATTCACCAAAACACTCTTGCGATTCTGCAAAAGAAAAAATCATGCATGATTTTGTGAATGAAAGGGGAAAGAAGATCCTGACACAGCGCACCTGAGCATGTCAATTGCGAACTGACCCAATAATTTATATATCACGACCAGTCAACTGATACTGACATTATCAGAGAGTACACATCAAAGGAAAAATGCACAAATTACCGATAAATTGTTAAATATGATATCATAGAATTAAATATGTTTTATTACAAAAAAAATGTGTTCTCAATCTTGTCGATAGATATAACAGAATGTCATATCAGTACCAAAGACAACTCTCCATCCAAGTCACAATTTGTAAAAGTAAACCATTATAGGTTGAAGTACGGTCTTCAACATGAAGCCTTGGTTCACACCAAACAGCAAGTTATATAGTCCATATCAATCAATCATGACAATAAACATAAACAAACAAAACAACTATCGCTTACTAATAATCCTGACTATATGTATTACATGAACTTGTTGCCATCAGAAATGAAAATATAAATATTCCAACTAACAAAAGCATATGCTTACACATGCAACCAAATATAAAGCACTAAATGATAATACCAATATGAAGCTCTCATCTATAGAACTTACAAAAAAAATGTCAAGATTACAAACCGCAACAAAATAATAAAAAATATAAGAAGCCAGCTGACAACATGTTCTAGAAAATTATTTGCAATTAATATTTCATTCCAAATCCATTACCACAAAACATCTTCTTACAGATATACTACATCTGGCGTCAGGGAGGGGCGCAATTGAAGGCACCCAGGCTGCTGCGCCCTTCTAATTTGGGCTAAAGAGACCACTGTCTTCTATACATATAAGATGTAATATTCTCATATTCGAACGGCCAACTATAGTAGTCAGAGGCGGATTTAGGGAGTTTTTCTGGGGACCCCCCCCCCCTTTTCATGGGAAAACTTTGGTTGATCATATACATATAGTGAATCACTGAAGCATGACTGGAGCTGGCCCCCTCTTATGAAAATTTCTAGATCTGCCACTGGTAGTCCATTTTGTCTAGCAGTAATCCTCAAAAGTAAATAATACATTTTTCTTATCAACTTGATTATAACCTTGCTAACTATTACATAACTGTCAAGACACAGTATGCATGTTAAAACTACTTGCATTGTCATAAAGAGTAAACAATCATATTCCACAAAACAAACAAAAAAGTGTTTGTATCGTTACTTTAGCTATTACAAACCATATATATATATTATTATATGTGACTATCAAGCCTCCTTCAATGATAACCCTGATTCACCAATACTACATCTAAAATCAAAAACCAGGAGAAAAAAGACACTATATATTCTAATGCGTGCAAGATTCCAATAAAAACCCCTATACCCACAAACCACCGATCTCCATACATGTATAAGCAGCTAAAATACGGCAAGCTTTTTAGAAAAGCTATTACTTGTCTCTTCTATTGTTGCTTGTCGGAAAATATAGTTTGACTCGGAACCTCTCTAGAATGTACCAGACTTTAAGGAGACAGCATAGAATGCAATATCGGTCAAGATGACATTTTGTTACTCTTTGGAGATGCTCTACTCTAATTTTTAGATACAAAAATGTATGTTCATGATGAAAGACCAGTAACAATATCGGCACAGACTGCATTTTTATTTTCATTGAAATCTTCATCAAAGATTTGATACCATTTTATACTGGGCCTTATTTTTATTTTTCGGTTTATGAACTTTATCTATTAATTTTTGGTACAAGTGGGTCCTGAGGTGAGCAAGAGGTTTTTACAATGCTGTTTCCATTTTGCTTACCTTTTATTTATATTTTACTTAATTTGTACTTTATCGAGAAAGTGTATACTATATATGGTATGTACTACGAACTACAAAAACGTTTTATAGACGTCTTTGTCAATTTACCATCAACAACAAAAACATTTTTGTTGGCGTGTTTGTCAAATTCATTATCAACTTCAACTTTTTAGTTTCCGTCTTTGTTACATTAACTTGTATGTTTGTTGGAAGTTTGTAGTCAGTTGTTTTGTAAATATGTTATGTATGTTAATACAGCGTTTGCTGCTGGATCCCTATTATTGATCATTATTGTCATATTACTCAAAATGTCTGTTTGGGTTTCCCATCAAATTTTGTCAATATAACGCATCTATAAACAACTGTCATACTAGTGGAAGGTATAGCTAGCTATAAAACCAATTTAACTCACAATTTTCTTCGGTAAATGCATGTTCCACAGTAGGAATATCACAGTTGGTTACTCCTCGTTCCGTTAGTTGATAACGTTTGTTTTTGTCAGTTTTTATGGATTTCCCATCATTGAATTTACCTTAGAGTTCTGTGTTTTTGTTATACTGTTTTCTTATATTGATTACAAGGAAAATATTGTTAGCGTCGATTAATTTCTTGTCGTTTATTAAGATAACATTAATCTCCAAAGAATGTTAAAAGAAAGGTCAGATGGTATCTACAATCACCACAGACAAAAATGAAGGAAGTTTTAATTACATAACTGACAGAAAATGTCATCTAATTAATGCAACAGGATATTCTAAGGGAGCTACCATTTGATTTTTATGGGGGGGGGGGGCTAGGATGAAATTTGAAACAAATAGGCAGGACAGGAGTTTTGAGTATAAAAAAGGCAGGATGAGATTATTTGCAAAAAAAAGCAGGATGACAATCTATGTAAAAAAATAGTCAGGATAAACTAAAAAAAAAAGGGCAGGACCGAATAGAGTGAAAAATAAAAAGGCAGAACCGAATAGAGGGAAAAATAAATAGGCAGGACAACATTTTTCATCCTAGTCCCCCCCCCCCCCCCCCCCCCCCCCCCCCATAAAAATCAAATGATAGCTCCCTAAGTACTAATCAGAGTGGGGTTCGCCATGTGAAAAACTACATTATAATTACTATATTATAAACCTCCCATATTTACAATTAGGCATAAAACAAAATATATATACTTCTTTCTTGCTATAAAATGGCAAAATAAAACAAATGGGTAGGTCGGTAGGTAAAAAGATTTTTGATTAGACTATATAGGGAACTGTTCTGGACTTTGATGGTACTTTAATAACTCAAAATGTCTGTTATTAAACGGTTTTTAACCAAAACGCTCATAATGTATGTAAAGTTAGGCATGAACATTTATGTCAGTTATAAGGAGGCAGGAAACACAACTATAATTTGTTGGCCTTATTGTTGAGAACGAGTTTTTAACCAATCACAATGTGTTGATGTTCGCTTTTGAAAATATGACAAAGAATGCATTATATTCGGAAATTGCGAATTGCAAAACCTCTATCCATGTTGTAAATATAAAATTAATGAGAATGGTGAAATTCTAAAACTGCAAACTGTCTACTAGCCAAACATAAAAGTTAACTAATACAAATGTTCTCCATGCTTCGTTGTTGCCTGACATATAAAAACAAATTACTTAAATGTTTTCCCGGGATCATTGAAGGGGAAAATGTAAATTTTTAACAAAACATTAAAGCTAATATCAAAGTTCATGAATTTGTAATCTGCAAACAGAAAATTCTAATAACAGGATGTTAGTATTTTACTTCATATAATCAGGAAGAAAAAGGAATGAGGGTTTAGATGGGGGTGTAATTGCTTAGACTATTTTCTCTTTTCTTTATATTTTTTCTTTTTTCTCCATACTTTATTTTTTGGTCCACTTTTTTCAATTTTTTATATTTTAAATCCTCTAATTAGATATAAGAAGATGTGGTATGAGTGCCAATGAGACAACTCTCCATCCAAGTTGTACTGTTTTGACTAAGTGCCGAATTGACCATGTCGTCCCTTTCTTATCATTTCATTCCCCAGTCTCATCAATCCCTCGATTATTGTCAAAACTGAAACACGTTGTTTTTCTACTTGGAAGTTTTATCCACCACTAGAGTAAGTTAACCTTTTATATTTGTGCTCATTTTTTATATCGTTGTGCATATTGTTTAATTATACATTTTATGCAACTTCATATTTGATTATTGGTGTTCATTTACACACGACATGAGTAAATATTGCCGCTGTGAATATACAGTACTGTTTGTATTTTTTATGTATGCATTTCTCCCTTAAATTCCATTCATTATTTGTCAATCCCACATGTTAGGATTTATTTTTGTGTTTTATTGATGTAGACAAGGGTCACGCTCGAATTTTCTAGAAATACAGTCCCGCACAGTCTTAACGTGTGTAAATTTTATATCGTGCGTGGTATGAAGAGTACAGTCAATGACAAATGCAACCTTTCAATTTTCTTGCATATTTAGATACGTGTGTGCAATCTTTTTCTGATATATTTATGTTGTATTTCGAAGTGTAGTGTACAAGAGTTACTTGTATTGAACTGTATAACCATTTTCTTTGTGAATGTACTACTATTTGACATTTATTGTATAAGTGTTGCCTTAATATTATGCTTATGATTGTTATTTTGTACTTTCAGTTTTTCACCCTCTCCGGGGGTCTGTATACCAATAAACTGTTGATCTCTCAACGACTTATCAGTACAGTGAAAAATCTACATTATAGACATAAACCCAAGATAGATTCAACATGTCACAGTCAGAATCCGTTTCTGAAAGAGAGTTAAGAACTTCTAGAACACTTACATCTGATGGAGATCACCTTTTCCAACAGTCTAATGAACGACATCAATACATTATTAGAACTAGTAAGAGAGATATCGACGCTATTATACTAGACGTAGAAGATAATCCAGTGGTGGACCTCTCCACAGCGTCGACGTACAGAGATGAAATTTCAAAACTATCAGAAAAGTTTGAAAAAGAAGCTAACACATATTTTGATTTCTTAAAATCATATAGGACAAAAGAAAGTGAAATCGAGCATGCATCATTTAAAGTGTCATTCTATGCGTTAAAGGCCAAAATATCCGTCGTCAAACAACATCTTAGTGAATTACTACCTAGTAGATCCAAACAAGATAGTGAACGAACTCTTAAAAGTCGTAGCTCCCATCATAGTTCCCGTCATACTGGGTCAACAAGAAACTCGTCACTTAGTGCTCAATCAGAGATTCTTAAACAAACTGTGAAACTGGAAACCGCAAAGACACGACTTAAATATGCCAAAGAGGAGGCAGAACTGTTGCACCGTGAAGCTACACTCAAAGCAGAGAGAAACGTCCTCTCTATGAAGCGAGAAGTCGACGAAGCTGAGTCGGGATTGCAAGCCGTTAAGAAGGCTTTGAATTATGATCCTAATGACTATGGTGAAAGTTATGAACCACCAATAATTGCTAATCCGGTAGTTCAGTATGCCGATGTAGACAGGATATCTGAAAGAAAGTACCGTAGTTCTAAAGTACCAGATACACATAACATTACAGAACGACGTACAGCAGAATTTGTGGAGCAACAGCGCTCACAGCATGCTTCTCATTTGACCGAAAATGACTTTCAAGCAAACAGTGTTAACATTCCTGTTCATTCTTTAGGACCATTGAATCCAACAGCACGACCTTTTGTTCCGACCCAGAGGAACGAAGCACAAGAATTGGCCAAGTTTATGGTGAAGAAAGACTTGATTACATCTAGGCTCACATCATTTGATGACCAGCCTTCACATTACTCATCTTGGAAAATTAGTTTTCAACACATAATGACCGAGTTAGATACAAATCCTTTGGAACAGTTGGACCTTCTAATAAAGTTTTTGGGACCAAGCTCAAAACAGCATGCTCAGAACATTAGATGTGCTAATGCCAATAATCCGGCTACTGCAGTGCGGCTTATATGGGAACGCTTAGATGCTAGATTCGGTAGTCCAGAGATGATAGAGTCGTCACTACACTCACGTATAGTTAACTTCCCGAAACTTTCAAACAATAACCGAAAGGAACTCTACGAGTTAGCGGACTTAGCTGCTGAGATCGAGTCTATTCGCAAAGATGAAAAGTTTGCCACCACATTCGCTTACTTTGATTCGTCTCTAGGTGTGAATCGTTTTGTAACCAGATTACCTTACAGTATTCAAGAAAAATGGACTACTACTGCCAATGGTTATAAGTCAAAAAACCATGGAGCATATCCGCCATTCTCCTTCTTTGTGCCATTCTTGCAAAACATTGCTAAAGTGCGTAATGACCCTGGATTTTTATATGACAATCAAGACACCAAACCGACCACATCTAGACAAACGAGAGTACAAAATCGTTTTCGAAGTCCTGCGCAAGTTTCAAGCATTAAAACCGACATTGGACACAGTGTTAATAGACCACCTATTCAGAAGCAAAATGAGGACGTGTGTCCCCTCCATGGAACTAATCATACACTTAACACGTGCCGTGGTTTCCGTGCTAAACCATTGTCAGAGAGACTTGATTTAATTAAGCAGAAAGGTTTGTGTTTCAAGTGTTGCGGACCTAAGAGACATTTCCGTGACAAGTGTAAAGAGGATGTCAAATGCAGTGTGTGTTGTTCTCGTGACCATCCGTCAGCCTTACATGTAGATATTACAGCCGAACCCCAGAAAAAGCACGAGGAGGAGAATTCTAAGGAACAGATTAGCAGCAAATGCACCAAAATATGTGACTCGATACACAATACCAGTAAATCATGTGCTAAGATAGTACTCGCCAAAGTATATCACTCTGATAGACCAGATCATTTCAAAACTGTTTACTGTGTGATCGATGACCAAAGTAACAGGACTTTAGCAACGTCAGATTTCTTCAACTTCTTCCGAGAAAACGACACTGAAACCGAATATGTACTTGCTTCTTGTGCAGGAAGGTTCGTTACTAGTGGACGAAGAGCTTCCGGATACGTGTTAGCGTCGCTTGACGGATCATTCTGTCTTAACGTACCTGAAATAATCGAATGTAATGACATTCCAAACAATCGGGAGGAAATACCCTCATCTGTTGTAGCTTCAAGTTATCCGCACATGATGGACATAGCAAGTTGTATTCCTGACATTGACAATCAGTCTGAAATACAGATGTTGATAGGCCGTGACCTTATTAGAGCACACCATGTTATTGAACACCGTGTAGGAGCTGACGAAGTACCGTATGCACAGCGTTTACCTTTAGGATGGGTTATTGTAGGCAATGTATGTCTTGGTAGATTTCATGGACAAAAAGTAGTTAATGTAAACAAAACTGTAATCCTAGGCAACGGACGACCTACTTTATTGTCTCCGTGTGATAGCGAGATGTCAGTTAAATTAGACCCAATCTTCGACAAGACTAAACTAGACGAAAAGGAAGGTGTGTCAATAGAGGATCAAACCTTTTTGAATATAATGTCATCGGGATTCTTCAAACAAGATGATGGACACTGGATCGCTCCACTACCTTTTAAACCCAACAAACCTTCTTTAGAAAACAACAAACAAATTGCAGAGCGTAGAGCTAAATCGTTTGATATGAATTTACGTTGCAACTCCGTAAAGCGCACACAAGTGTTAGATTTTATGCAGAAACTGTTTGATCGAGAACATGCCCAGATAGCACCCAAACTATCGCCAGGTACTGAGTGCTGGTACTTGCCTATGTTCGCAGTGTATCATCCGAGGAAACCAGAGAGTGTAAGAGTAGTTTTTGACTCTTCTGCAAAACATCATGGACTATCTTTGAACGACGTCTTGTTGAAAGGTCCAGACATTTATAACAGCCTTCTTGGAATATTACTCCGTTTTAGGAAAGAGGCTTACGCCGTTACCGTTGATATCGAACAAATGTTTCATAACTTCAGAGTCATAGATGAACATAGACGTTTCTTGCGCTTCCTGTGGCACAAGGACAGCGATTTTGAAAAACCACTTACAGAATATCAGATGTTAGTACACGTCTTCGGAAACAGTCCGTCCCCAGCAGTGGCTACGTATGGTCTGAGACGAACTGTCCAACGCGCTGAACTTGATGTGAAAGACTTTGTTAGCAACGACTTTTACGTAGATGATGGACTTACCTCTTGTGCAACTCCAGAGGGAGTTATTGATCTTGTTCAAAGAACTAAGAAAACTTTATACGAAAACGGTAGACTTAGATTGCATAAAGTTGCATCTAACAGCAGGTTAGTGCTAGAAGCATTTCATTCAGATGACCTTGCCAAAAATCTCAAGGACCTTGACCTTGGATCGGCAGATCTCCCGATGCAGAGAAGCTTAGGTCTCTCATGGGACACAGAACTGGACGAGTTTACCTTTAGTGTGTCTTCCGACATCAAGCCATTTACACGCCGCGGAGTTCTTTCAACAATCAACAGTCTGTATGACCCAATTGGCTTTGCTGCACCAGTTATCATTAGAGGCAAATTACTCATGCGTCAAATGCTTTCATCTTCATCTACTATTGATTGGGATGATCCACTTCCAGAATTACTGAATCAGCAATGGGAATCGTGAGTACATTCATTGAGCGAACTTGAAAATTTGCGTATATCTAGAAAGTACAATGGACCTTCATTCGCCAATAGTGTTAAACGGGAGGTTCACATATTCTCAGACGCTTCTAAAGATGCAATCGCAGCTGTTGCATATATTAAATTGTATAGTGCAAATACTGTTTACATTAGCTTTCTTTTCGGGAAAGCCAAAGTTGCCCCGTCTCACGGACACACAATCCCCCGTCTGGAACTGTGTGCTGCAGTCTTAGCAGCAGAGCTTTCCGACATTATTCGAGATCAATTAGATATCAACCCAGATGATTTTTATTATTATACAGACAGTCGTGTAGTACTTGGATATCTGACAAACGAAACAAGACGCTTCTACATATATGTTGGTAACAGAGTCAGTCGAATTCGTTCTTCATGTCAACCTAATCAGTGGTCTCATGTGTCTACCAATGAAAACCCAGCTGATTTGGCTACTAGGTCCATCAGCACGATAGATCTTCCACAGAGTCTTTGGATAAAGGGCCCCGACATGCTCGTGACTAACGACAAACAGGATGAACACGATCACTTACTAGTAGATCCAGAAAATGACAAAGAAATTCGTCCATCAGTTAGCTGCAAGAAAACAGAACTCCAAATCGAATTTAATGAAACTTCATTAGGATGTAGTAGATTCGACAGGTTTTCTCAATGGACACGTCTCGTCAGAAGCATTGCCTTTATAAAATCGGTAATTCGTAAGAAACTGCACCAAGACGGAGTTATTTCGCCCGATCTGCTAAGAGACTCTGAAAACTTAATACTACGTTCAGTTCAGCAGGATGCCTTTTCCGACGAGATTAAGTTGCTTCAAGAAGGTAAAAGCATAACATCAAAAAGCCAGTTGGCTCAGCTGTCTCCTATACTAGGTTCAGATGGACTCGTACGAGTAGGAGGAAGGCTCAAACACGCTCCTGTAAATGATTCATTAGACCTGTCGCACCATCCTGTGATCCTTCCAAAGAACCACCATGTTTCGTCACTTATTATTCATCATTTTCATGAAAGTATACACCATCAAGGCCGACAGTTGACGGAAGGGGCCATCCGTGCCGGAGGCTATTGGATTATTAGTGCAAAACGTTCTATTTCAACCCTCATCAACAAGTGCATAATTTGTAAGAAGCTCAGAGGAAAACTTGAATGGCAACAAATGTCCGATCTCCCAACAGATCGACTTAGCCCATGTCCACCATTCTCTTATGTCGGCGTGGACACATTCGGTCCATGGTCCGTCGTATTTCGTAAAACTAGAGGAGGCTCAGCCAACCAGAAACGTTGGGCGTTACTGTTTACATGCATGACCACACGCGCTGTGCATATCGAAGTGATAGAAGACATGTCAACCTCGTCTTTCATCAACGCTATGAGACGCGTAATTGCAGTTAGAGGTCCTATCATACAATTTCGTTCTGATCGAGGAACTAATTTCATTGGAGCAACATCAGAGCTCAATATTGACCCTGAATTTGTCGAAAAAGGACCAATCAAGGAATTCTTACTGAAATCCGGAACTACCTGGAAATTCAATCCACCATATGCACATCATATGGGCGGCTCATGGGAGAGACTTATCGGTGTTTCTCGTCGGAATCTCGACGGCTTGTTATTGGAAAACAAAAGTAGGACAATTACACACGAAGTGCTTGTTACTCTCATGGCTGAAGTTATGGCCATCATAAACAATAGACCGTTACTACCAGTTTCGACTGATCCAGAGTGTCCCAGTATTTTGAGTCCGTCGTCACTTCTTACGATGAAAACTTCACCAGACGTGAAACCGTTTCCTTTATTCGGTCCAAAGGATATGTTGAAAGCTCAATGGAAATGCGCACAAGGATTAGCAGAAGAGTTTTGGCGTAGATGGAAATCCGAATATCTTCATGAACTTCAGATTCGTACAAAGTGGCAAACTGACCGTCGTAATCTACAAGTTGGTGACTTAATTCTCATGAAAGATCAGGATGCGCCACGTAATTCATGGCCCGTAGGACTTGTGGACAGGGTATTTCCAAGCTCGGATGGCAAAATTCGTAAAGTGGAAGTCGCCATAGTCAAAGACGGAAAGCGCACAACTTATTCCAGACCAATTACCGAATTGGTTACTCTCCTTGAAGCTGACTGACTATAATAGTGACATTGTGTTTTATTCAATTACATTTAATACACGAACAATTAGTATAACATTGTTAGGGAAACACATGTTAATTTGTCATATGACATTATCTTTTAATTTTGAAAATGTAGTGATTTCATAAAGAAATCAGAGGAGGAGTGTACTGTTTTGACTAAGTGCCGAATTGACCATGTCGTCCCTTTCTTATCATTTCATTCCCCAGTCTCATCAATCCCTCGATTATTGTCAAAACTGAAACACGTTGTTTTTCTACTTGGAAGTTTTATCCACCACTAGAGTAAGTTAACCTTTTATATTTGTGCTCATTTTTTATATCGTTGTGCATATTGTTTAATTATACATTTTATGCAACTTCATATTTGATTATTGGTGTTCATTTACACACGACATGAGTAAATATTGCCGCTGTGAATATACAGTACTGTTTGTATTTTTTATGTATGCATTTCTCCCTTAAATTCCATTCATTATTTGTCAATCCCACATGTTAGGATTTATTTTTGTGTTTTATTGATGTAGACAAGGGTCACGCTCGAATTTTCTAGAAATACAGTCCCGCACAGTCTTAACGTGTGTAAATTTTATATCGTGCGTGGTATGAAGAGTACAGTCAATGACAAATGCAACCTTTCAATTTTCTTGCATATTTAGATACGTGTGTGCAATCTTTTTCTGATATATTTATGTTGTATTTCGAAGTGTAGTGTACAAGAGTTACTTGTATTGAACTGTATAACCATTTTCTTTGTGAATGTACTACTATTTGACATTTATTGTATAAGTGTTGCCTTAATATTATGCTTATGATTGTTATTTTGTACTTTCAGTTTTTCACCCTCTCCGGGGGTCTGTATACCAATAAACTGTTGATCTCTCAACGACTTATCAGTACACAAGTCACAATTTGTAAAAGAAAACCATTCTAAGTTTTACAGAGGCTTCGATGGCCGAGTGGTCTCAGTAGTTCATTTACTTCATCATTGGCCTCTCAACACTGATGTAATGAACCCGAACCCTGCATTTGGCAGGTGCATTTGTCTACAATCTTGATTGTAAAGGATTCTCAGTTTTCCTGCAAAATGTAGCTTGTTCGCTCCGGGCAATCCGGCTTCCGCCACCAATAAGAAAAACAGTCACGATAGAGCCAATAGTGATGAAAGTGGCTTAAACACCAACAATCAATCAATCAAACCTATATTTTATATTCTTAAATGTTTGCCCATTTTATTCTAGTCGTTTTGCTTATTGTTATATATTCGTTATACCCAGACAAAATATAATATGGACCCTCATCAATCGTACAATCAAATCTACAGTTTGTCAAGTTAAATTAAGCATTAGACATGAATTGTGTTTAAAATATGTCATTGGTTCAGTAATCAGTAAATATCAGTCGTGTCTGCGATATGTTATATGTAAGTTTTCTTTTACATTGAAAATCCCTTCGATTATATCAGATCATGTAAGCACTTCAAAAACTTGACAAAGAAGAGATTTATAACTATTCATTTCTCAAACTAAGGTGACATGAAGGGAAATCAATTCCTAATGAATCGAATGAGTTCGTTTATAATAAATGTATTTGGTTACATGATTAAAGTAGAATCTTTATCTTCATAAGATCGTTGAGTTTTACTAGTAACATCATAGACTTACATTTATATGACACAGTTGAACATACTTTGCCACTGTGGACTGTGTTCAGTTGTTTGAAATTTGGCTAACAGGACAACTGTGACAAAGTTGTTTGCATGTTGACACAGTGGACCTTACGTTGATAAGGTGGACCATAATTTGACACAGTGGACCATACGTTGACACAATAGACCATACTTTTACACAAAAGGCCATACTTTGACACAGTTGTCCGGAATTTGACACAGTTGAATGTAGTTCGACACAGCTGAAAAACTTTGACACAGTGGAATGTATTTGAAAGAGAATACCGTTCTTCGGCCGCACTACATATTCATTACTGATTTCTTATGCTTATAAATGATATTATGAGTTAAGCCCTTTCAAACAGATTTTTACAGTTTATTTTAACTTTTAGTTACACAGCTGCTACAGGTTAACAGGTGGTTGAGCAACTATGGCTTATCCCATAATAGTCTGTATATAGATGACCCAAGCCAAGAGTCTAAAGAATTCAATCAATGACGTGACGTTATTTTTATTGTGTGATCAGACTTGTATTATTCTCTCTGATTCCCGAACACAAATGTATCGTTTTGACGAATATAACAATAATATACCTTATTATCGGAAATTTGCATGCAGACAAGGATATTCTATTAGGTTACTAATGCTTAGCTTCTTATAAATAAGCTTTGTAATTTAAAAAGCGATAACATTACTGATTTATTGGATGTGGGAAACAAGATTTGTTTATCACCGATATAACAGTATATTTTTCGCTTTGGTTTCCTGTTGGAAGGGTTTTTGTTCAATAATCAAATCTATTGTAAACTTTATGTCTGGATTAAGAATAATTCTTTCATGACATCCTCCATATTCTTCGGGTATTGAACAAGATTCGGTGGAGGAATATGTTTTTCTGATGATTTTTAGACAATTTGTATGCCTACTTTATCTCTCTTTTTCAATAGTCTGCGAAAAGACCTGTTCTTTTAATCTAAGTGACGATATGAGGATTGGTTGCCATTTATTGTGATATCAAAAACGCAAATTGAAAAGAAAGCAAGAAAATTTCACGTCATAATTAAAATTTTAAAAATGAAGAACTGTGATGAAAGAATCACACGTTGAAAAGGAGTATGATACGCAATTTCTCCAGTAATGACAGTTAATTTTTTTAATTAAAACACGAGTCTTAAAAAATGTTATTGTCGAGAGTGTAGAAATGTCTTTTTGGTGGTGAAATTTGTTTTTCGTATGATGCCAAGACAATTCGTTAATCAAACAACTGTATTATTCTTTTTTAATGATCTGCGAAAGATGTGTTCTTTCGATTATATATATCATTGTAGACTCTTTTCGTGACGTCACAACATCAAATTCAAAAGAAAATATCAATGATATTGCCGTCATAAGCGGTATTGACCAGAGGGTCAGGGAAAGTATAAATCAGCTAATAGTAATACAGTCATCATGTACCACTGCATCAAGTGTGATATGAAATTTCACCGCTCATGAAAGTTCAATTTTCAAATCTAAAACGCCAGGCTGTTTTGATCGAGACCAAGCAGTTCATCCGAAAAACAAACTTTTTATAAAATATAGACTGATCTGGGCAATTATAATATATATATATATATATATATATATATATACAAGTCTAAATTGAAAACAACGTTCAAACCTATGATTGCGTTGGATAAAAACCGCAATTTTTATACGTGTGCATGCAAAACAAATTTCTTGTTAGAGGGGTCTAAATACAGCACAAACAACATTTCTAAAAGACCAAAAAAGTGAAAAAGTATATTTTAACAAAACGCATTTGACTAACAGGTCGAACAACAAATGTTCATAAACCCTGCTGACTGCCATTGGCGATTGCCAAATAAACGGATCACCGATGTAATAAATGGATCTTAATTATAAATTGATACTAAACAGAAAACAATAAACTTGCGGAAAAGATGGTATACCGCAAACAAAAGGTGCAAAGATTTGTGTACACCATATCCGGATTTCGACAATTAATGTCTCTTCAGTGATGTTAGGAATCGAAACGGTATTTGGAAAGCCATACAATTTATCTCAATTTAGGATAGACTCTTGAATTTTGAGGAGTCAAAATAGGATGAACGGATCATTTAAACCCGAAGGCAAATATAATACAATCCCAAACGAAAAAATAAAAACAAGTCTAAATTGAAAACAACGTTCAAACCTATGATGGCGTTGGATAAAAACCGCAATTTTTACACGTGTGCATGCAAAACAAATGTCTTGTTAGAGGGGTCTAAATACAGCACAAACAACATTTCCAAAAGACCAAAAAAGTTAAAAAGTATATTTTAACAAAACGCATTTGACTAACAGGTCGAACAACAAATGTTCTTAAACCCTGCTGACTGCCATTGGCGATTGCCAAATAAACGGATCACCGATATAATAAATGGATCTTAATTATAAATTAGGTACTAAACAGAAAACAATAAACTTGCGGAAAAGATGGTATACCGCAAACAAAAGGTGCAAAGATTTGTGTACACCATATCCGGATTTCGACAATTAATGTCTCTTCAGTGATGTTAGGAATCGAAACGGTATTTGGAAAGCCATACAATTTATCTCAATTTAGGATAGACTCTTGAATTTTGAGGAGTCAAAACAGGATGAACGGATCATATAAACCCGAAGGCAAATATAATACAATCCCAAACGAAAAAATATAAACAAGTCTAAATTGAAAACAACGTTCAAACCTATGATTGCGTTGGATAAAAACCGCAATTTTTATACGTGTGCATGCAAAACAAGTTTCTTGTTAGAGGGGTCTAAATACAGCACAAACAACATTTTCCAAAAGACCAAAAAAGTGAAAAAGTATATTTTAACAAAACGCATTTGACTAACAGGTCGAACAACAAATGTTCTTAAACCCTGCTGACTTCCATTGGCGATTGCCAAATAAACGGATCACCGATGTAATAAATGGACCTTAATTATAAATTTAATACTAAACAGAAAACAATAAACTTGCGGAAAAGATGATATACCGCAAAGAAAAGGTGCAAAGGTTTTTGTACACCATATCCGGATTTCGACAATATATATATATATATCTATATATTTGTTACTCTAAGTAAACAACAGATGTTCAAAGTAGAAATTTTTCACAATTTATATATCCACACTTTCTCTTTTGATTGACGAAATGTGCGTCTGGCGTACACAATTTGTATATCCACACTTTCTCTTTTGATTGACGAAATGCGCGTCTAGCGTACAAAATTTCAATCCTGGTATCTATGATGAGTTTTTGATACTGATCGTCTAATTTTTTCTGCAAAGTTTTTTTACTGCTTGTAACTCGAATAAAAGGTGTTGGCAAATGACATTTCTGCAAATAACAACATTGGATCCGGGATTTAATAGAAATAAGAAGTTGTTGTATGAGTAACAATGAGACAACTCTCCATCCAAGTCACAATGTGTAAAACGTAAACAATTATAGGTCAAAGTACGGCCTTCAACACAGAGCCTTGGCTCACACCAAACAACAAGCTATAAAGAGCCCAAAAAAGACTAGTATAAAACCATTCAAACAGGAAAACAAACGGTCTAATCTATATAAAAAACGAGAAATGAGAAACACTTATGAACCACACCAACAAACGACAACCACTGAACATCAGGTTCCTGACTTAAGACAGGTGCGAACAAATGCAGAGGGTTTAAACGTTTTAACAGGCACCAACCTTCATCATAACCTGAAATAGTAGTGTAACATTACAACATAGAAAGACACACTATAAAATATCAATTGAAATGGCTTAACTCAATCAAAAAGACATATTAACAAAAATGTACATCTATTTCAGTTATCAGTTGACCAGTTGACCGTTTCCTTCTTTCATTGATATTTGCAAACGCCAGCATTCCTACCTAGTAGTAGTTTCAATGTATTGCTCGCAGTGTTTATTAATAAATAGGTGGTTTCCGGGACCTCAAGTGCGCTGCAAAGGTTCAAACTTTTTACTGTATATACATTTTGTTCCATCTTGTGATCCGTTTATTTGGCAATCGCCAATGGCAATCAGCAGGGTTTAAAAACATCCGTTGATCAACCTGCTAGTCAAATGCGTTTTGTTAAAATATATTTTTTAACTGTTTGGTCTTTTGGAAAATGTTGTTTGTGCTGTATTTAGACCCCTCTACCTTCTCAAGGAGAGAGAGAAGAGAG